GTCTCATTCGACGGGTTTCGGCCACACATTAAAATTTGACGAGGCCGAAATTCGCGCAAGAGGTGACAATCACGTGTTCGTTTTTATTTATACTTATGCGTGATTCTGAGCGAAAGAAAATTGAATCCGACCTAGATTGTTTTTACCAATAGAGTTCAACCCCTGAAGGCCGACATCTGCTTTACCAGGAACGTGACCGGTTTACAAGACATGATCCTTTATGGTTTCGTAAATTATAAAAGGGGATTATTTTTACTATGTAAAGTGTTATATAATCTACCGTTATCCCACTCACTACGTTAAGACGTGTTGTCGACACTCAAAGAGATAGTCACCGCTAGGTTAATTATTTCGTCCCCTTCCACGCACCACTAGATATCAGCGATTCCTGTCTGTAAATGCAGTTGCTATTTGACATAGACTGACCGGGGAATGTGAAAACTGTGCAAAGGTACCCCTTATCTAAGAGAAGAATTGCGCATTTTTTTACATGCAGAAAGCCCTCAAACTATTGTTGGGGAATCCACTTATGGAGTATGCCGTAGCGACGGCGTTTGTGGTCTCCGATCTCTATGGCCAGTCTCACCAGGGACAGTTTCTTTTGCCAACGAGGAAAGCTGTTCTTCAGCGTTTCGGTTTGAATCGGTCCCAATTTCGTAAAAAGACATGGCAACTGATAGTATCCGATACAGTGCAACCCCTCCCTTTTTTGACTGTCGACATGTCATCGTCAGAAGGTTTTTTTCCTAGTGAACCATCTGAACTCTAATAATTACCATTAACCGAATTTTCATCCCCTTTTGATATGCGTTTGTGTTAACTGTTGGCCGAATTTATGTCTAACGCTTCCCTGGCGGTGCTTGTAAACTGGCATTGAATACAATTAGCATTATTATGGGTAATGTCTCTCCAGTAATATAATTGTTAGTAGAACGACATCAATATCGTTTGGGATACAGCCACTGCAAGCAGCAGAGCAGTCCCTTTATGAAATACGGCAGTCGACGAAAACAGTAAATATTACCTCTGCAGTAAGTGCTGGTAGGACATTTACTAGTACGGTCGGGTTTGCCACTGCTACAGAAAAATGGTGTTAAATGTCATGCAAGCCAATACGACTAATGTAATATGAATATGAACACGTTTTCGGATGCTGGGTTTTCAAATGCATAAGATAACTGCCAATAATAAACGTAGTACCGGTACAACTACAGCAACCGGTTTCTCAGGGCGCTGTGTCTAGTAGTAAGATAAGTAGACTAACTCATGAAATCTCAACGAAAACTCCTAAATGCGTTTTTGTTTCGAATAGATTATTTAAGTAAGGTTGTAACACAAATCGTTTTGACGCGTTATTGCGTAATGATTCAGTTAGCTGCGGATACCGGCATTCAAACGAACTTCTTTCCGGCTGCATACGAAAAATATACTTGGAAAAAAATGACTAATTAAGAAGCAGGCATTTTTGTCATGGATTCTAGATGCCCTTAGAAATCTGTTATGTGTCATGGAAAACATGCATAGGAGTGGCGATCGTCTTGCTCATTCTATGAAGAATGACGTGTTCTTCGAATGACATATTTGATGGAAGGGTATAATTCGGTTTTAAAAATGATTTTAGTAGCAAGATTCTTAAGAGCGTGAAATGGCCGTTTATTGGACGTCATATCTTTGTATGTAGGGAAAGGTCTTCTAATATTAACAATATGGCTCAAGTTCACTGCTGAATTTTATGAATCCCATGTGGTCTAATTTTAATACCGGAGGCAGATATATGGCTTCCTGCACGCGGGAATGTATACAGATTGTAGTTTAGAAAATCTGCGTACCAGTGTAACGGTAGGCGGGAATCAATGCTATTCGTGGAACTGGAAAAGTATATTAACATAGCAGTTTACTCTTACTTCGAATACGAAATTGGAAAAAGCCGAAAGTTTCTATCGAGGGAGCAGGAGAATGCATATGGTTTATCCAAGTTTTAAAGGAATTGTAAGTGAAATTCTAAGGGCATCGAAAATCCATAAAAATATATGCTTTTCAAGTAGGCATTGTTATAAGAAATATAGTTTTATATACGATATTATAGCTAAGAGAAGCGAAGATGCGCGTCCCCGGACATAAATGAGAAATAAGGCGATCTCGGGAACCATTGTTTTACTGTCCTGACGATTCAAAAGCATGCAAGCTTCCATCGTCGGAGGTGAGTGTGGTATCGCGCCTCACAGTATTTATAGGTGGGTGAAAGTCATGTCAAAACGGGTTTTCTTACATATGAAGTCAGGGCGGCTGGGGGGATGGGGCGGGGGGGAAGTCCTAGAGCGTCTTTTCGTCGGATGAGGGGGTGGTGGGTCAGCTTTAGTGGTCATCAGCCGCATGCACACATGAACTGTGGCGGCCGGGAGGGGGGAGGCAGGGAGGGTGACGGAATGTACTCAATCTACATAGGAGGCCGGCGTTGAGACGTTGGTGGTCGTCGTTCGTACCGTCATTGAGCGTAGCTGTCGTCCAAGCCTGGCAATCTTGTTTACGCCGCAACGACTGTCCGTTTTCTCGTCCGCCGGACTAGTAGATGGACCGGCTGTGATGAGGACTGCGCCTTCGTCGGAACCCGGTTGAGGGGTGACCGAGTGTGTATCCGCCATCCACTCGCTCATGTCTGGATTCATGTTTAGCCTGGGTGCACGTCTGCTCATTTGTTTACTGAGCTGTGCTCGAAGGGCTTGATAGGCAGCGGGAAGAGCCACACAGCGGTTGATGGAGGTTGTCCCCGTGTGCCAAGCCTCGATTGTTTCCCTGGCTATGCGATCGTTTCCCCGGCCCAGAATTTCGGCATGCTGAAAGGCGAACGTGTGTCCGGCATCGGCGCAGTGTTCGGCCACCAGAGACAAAGGGTCCATTCGCCTGACTGCCCTCATGTGCTCTCCAACACGAGTCTGTAGCCGTTTTCCGGTCTCCCCAATGAAGTTGACTTCGCAGGAGTTACACCGGATCCGGTAGATGACGTTCGTGGTTTCACATAGTGGCAGAGGGGCCTTAGGTCTCATGACCAGATGTCGAATTGTTGACTCCGGTCGGTGGGCGATGCCGATCCCCAGCGGTCTTAAGAGACGCGAGACGGCCTCAGAAACGCCGCCGATGTATGGAAGCGCCCGCCATATTGTTTGTTGTTCTGTCACCAAACGTCGGCTCGGTCCGGCCTGTCTGCCGCGTTCGATGAAGTTGCGAGGATACCCGTTGGCCATGAAGAGGCGCTGGAGGTAGCGTGGTTCTGACCTTCTGTCGTCCGGCTCGCTGCAGTGTGTTTCCGCCCTTCTGTAGAGTGTTCGCACACAACTGCGTTTGTGGCCTAACGGGTGCTTACTGTGGAAGCTGAGGATTTGGCGCGTATTAGTGGCCTTCCTATATACCGTCGTTTTAAGGTGCCCATTGGGTTTTCGATGGACGAGAACGTCCAGGAACGGGAGTTGATTGTTGGCTTCCGCCTCCATTGTGAACTGGATGTCAGGGAAAACAGAGTTCAGGACATCATGGAATTCCTTGACCATTTGCCGCTTAAGGATAACGAAGGTATCATCGACATATCGAGACAAAATTTCGGCTTATAGGTTGAGAAAACGAGGGTGTCTCCTTTTTGGAGAACTGCCTCTGCGATGAAGCCCGAGAGCGGCGATCCCATTGGCGTCCCCTTTGACCTGCTCGTAGGTCGTGCCTTCAAAGGTAAAGTACGTCTTCAGGCAGAATCTCAGCAATTGGACGAGATGTCTCCTTTTTACCGTCACGTCCGTCTCGTCGTACTGACTCTCGAGCAGGTCTTGCGGGATCGAGGTGAAAAGAGAGGTGACGTCGAATGACACCATGACGTCGTCTTCGGTAAATCTCATCCCTTTGATCCGCTCCAGGAACTGAGTCGCTGAACAGACCGTCGTACCCGCGTCCGAGGTGAGAGACCTCAGATTTCGAAACAGCCATTTGGCCAAATTGAATGTAGGTGCGCCGCGCAATGACACGATTGGCCGGAGGGGGACCCCGGCTTTGTGTACCTTTGGTAGTCCGTAGAACCTTGGCGCGGCCGCGTCTACTGGCTTAATGGCCAGTCGTACCGATTTACTTATTGCCTTGCTCGTTTGCATGTCGGCGAGTGTCTTGTCCAGTTGCGTCACCAGCCTCCTCATCGGTTCATCGTTACATGGTAGGTACGCCTGTCGGTCCTCCAGTAGGGCATTGGCCTTCTGAATGTAGTCTGCCATATCCATCACAACTGTGGAACGCCCTTTGTCTGCTGGTAGAATCACGATGCTGGTGTCAGCCCTCAGTGTCTTGAGAGCGCTCTGCTCGGCCTTGGTAATAGTTGCACGCGGTTTGTGTGACATCGCCAAGGAGGCTACCTGCTGTCGAATGAGATGCTTTGTTTCATCGGATTGCCCGGTTTGTTTGAGAATCGACTCTACCGTGGCCACGAGGTTGACTGGATCGGCGTCTGTGGTGTTGAAGCAAGCCTCATGACTCAGCACTTTCATTTGTGCAGGAGTCAGCTGCTTAAGGGACATATTGTGCACCAGGATTTCGTTCTCCTCTTGAGATGATTTGCTTATGCTTTGGAGCTTGACCGCCAGCTCGGCATCTCTCGTTTCTCGCAGGTTCCGGGCCCGTTTATTAATCACTTGTTGCAACTGCGCGACTCCGTCATCACCGATGAGTTCGACGCACTTTGTTACCGCCTGGCTCAAAACCCTGTTGTATTTACGCAGTCGAAGATGGTAATCTTGGAGAAGCGCCCGAATCATTCGTCTGTCATGTTCAGCCACCCACCGTTTAGCCAGACTTGTGTTCACCGGTGGCCTGTACGACAGGCTCTTCGGAAGCACATCATTGTCAAGGCATCTGTGGAGAATTTGTATTTGCGCGTACGTAGAAGACACACGAAGGGTGAATATTTCCAAACGTCGTGCAGACACAAGCGCTTGGCGCCCGAAAATATAGCTAAAGGAAGCGAAGATGCGCGTCCCCGGACATAAATGAGAAAAAAGGCGATCTCGGGAACCATTGTTTTACTGTCCTGACGATTCAAAAGCATACAAGCTTCCATCGTCGGAGGTGAGTGTGGTATCGCGCCTCACAGTATTTATAGGTGGGTGAAAGTCATGTCAAAACGGGTTTTCTTACATATGAAGTCAGGGCGGCAGGGGAGGAAGGGGCGTGGGGAGTCCTAGAGCGTCTTTTCGCCGGATGAGGGGGTGGTGGATCAGCGATAGTGGTCATCAGCCGCATGCACACATGAACTGTGGCGGCCGGGAGGGGGGAGGCAGGGAGGGTGACGGAATGTACTCAATCTACATAGGAGGCCAGCGTTGAGACGTTGGTGGTCGTCGTTCGTACCGTCATTGAGCGTAGCTGTCGTCCAAGCCTGGCAATCTTGTTTACGCCGCAACGACTGTCCGTTTTCTCGTCCGCCGGACTAGTAGATGGACCGGCTGTGATGAGGACTGCGCCTTCGTCGGAATCCGGTTGAGGGGTGACCGAGTGTGTATCCGCCATGGACTCGCTCATGTTAGGGTACGGACGACGACCACCAACGTCTCAACTCCGGCCTCTGATGTAGATTGAGTACATTCCGTCACCCTCCCTGCCTCCCCCCCACCCGGCCGCCAGAGTTCATTTGTGCATGCGGCTGATGATCCACCACCGCCTCATCCGGCGAAATGACTCTCTAGGTCTCCCCCCGCCCCTTCCCCCCTGCCGCCTTGACTTCATATGTAATAAAACCCGTTTTGACATGACTTTCACCCACCTATAAATACTGTGAGGCGCGATACCACACTCACCTCCGACGATGGAAGTTTGTATGCTTTTGAATCTTCAGGACAGTAAAACAATGGTTCTCGTGATCGCCTTTTCTTTTCACGTTATATTATATATTTTTATGTATATTTTTTTTATTGGGGAGTTTTTTTCTCCTGTAAATTAATCCGACCATTTATAAATTTCTTATATTGAGTTTTTTTCACCCCTTTCGAGTCATGTTTCTCAATGTACAACTAATTCATAAACTATTAATTTTATTTTGCAAAGACTCTGTCCGCCTCGTCTAAAATTCGCATTTTAATTAATTTTTACTTCTTTAATGGGACCACGACGGGTCTTTAACATAAAATGATTATTATTATATACAACGGGAAAGACGTTCGTCCGAAAGCAGGCATCCTCAAGTAACTGAATTACTATGGAATTTTCTGCATGATGATTAATTTATAATCCTACCTAATGAATGGTTCCGAAGGGAAAACATATTCGGAATGTCGGCGGACACTTCCTAAGTTAGCTCACCTTCGGTAAATCGGGCGTTAAGCCTACTATTACAGGCAGTACGAGGACTACCGTCAGTGAAGCAAGAACTGTTTCAGATGTTATGAGGTGTGTCTCTCTCAGGAAAATAAAGGAAGGTGAATGGACCTACCCCTATTGAATTACATGGAACTACACTAATACAGGGAGGGAAATACGCAATTAGTATCTGGAGAATACCTAAGCCCAAACGGCTAAGTGGACTTTTGCATCTAATTCTGCCGTACGTAATTGTGTTACGTCCACCTAGGGAAGAACTGCAATCCCTATGTCTACCACTTTTTATATAAAATCTGCATCTATCACTAATGCTAGGAGAACATCGACGGGTACAGAATCTGCTTCAATGACTGGTGCTTATGATTCCGCCTCCAGTACAACCGCTACTTTGAAGGCCATGGGTATCAATACTACTACTACTACTACTACTACTACTACTACTACTACTACTACTACTACTACTACTACTACTACTACTACTACTACTACTACTACTACTACTACTACTACTACTACTACTACTACTACTACTACTATTACTACTACTACTACTACTACTACTACGACTACTACTACTACTACTACTACTACTACTACTATTACTATTACTACTACCACTACAACTACCAATAATAATACTACTACTATTGCTACTACTACTACTACTACTAATACTACTATTAATAGTACGAACACAATTACTTCGTGCACTTCCGCAATAACTGTCAACGCAACTGGTATTGTGACCATGCCTTCTACTGCCGGTATGAAAACTGGGACGCGTTGAACTACGGCAACTGTTAGTACCAATCAAAATTGCATTCATGACATCGTGAATGAAGTACATCGGCACACGTACCACGTGCAACAGTAAGTAGGTGACAGGAAGTGTCGGTACCGCTTGCATCGGTAGGCCTACCAAATAGGCAGGAAGTGCACAGTGTACGGTAAGTAATAGAACTACAAATTACTACAAAAGATACCGTCCAAGCGACTATTACAGACAACAGATTAACAACTAGTACTACTGTCGGTATCGGTACTAGTCATTGTGACAAGCAGTACTACGGCTGCTGGTAAAACTTCTGAAATAGTAAGGTAGGGAAATCAGAAACACGTACATAGACGACGATCACTACTATTACTAATGCGGTCGCCGACAAAACTGCCAATACTAGTACGGCTAATGACGGATGTGTTGGCAGCATAAAAACAACCAGAGGTGGAAATACTGCTACCCTATTCTGCCATGAGCGCAATTACGGCGACTCAGTAATATCAGCGATGATTCCACTGTCTTATGAAACGGCTAGTAACACTACTACTGCTACTGTTACTACTACTACTACTACTACTACTACTACTACTATTACTACCAATACTACTACTACTACTACTACTACTACTATTACTACCAATACTACTACTACTACTACTACGAATACTACTACCACTACTACTACTACTACTACTTCTACTACTAAGACTACTCCTACTACTACTACAACAACTACAACTACTACTACAACTACTAATACTACTACTACTTATAGTACTACAACCACTAGTACTACTACTAAAACAACTTCTACTAATGCTACTACAACAACTACTATTATTACTACTACTAATTATAATATTACCACAACTACTAATACTGCCATAACTTGCACTGCTGTCAGCACAACAACGACGTCAACAACAACAACCACTACCATCACTGTTACAGCGAATACTACTAATACTCCTAATATTAGTACTTCTACTACTACTACTACTACTACTACTACTACTACTACTACTACTACTACTACTACTACAACTACTACTATTACTACTAACATCGCCACCACGGCTGCGAGTGCTACTCTACCAACGCTCACATTATGGGTAACTAACTGCAATAATACTAGCATCAGTAACGGCAATGGCTATGAAGGTTTTAATAATGAGCTAAATCCTAGCAGCAGAAAGTGAGTAACAATACCGTAAAAACATAACTAAATGGATAACCTCTGCAGGTGACAGTAGAATCAGAAATTAGGGTAAGTGATAGTGCTGCGCACAAACACAAGCAATACATTGGAAGAAATACGCACTCACGCCCGACAGGAAAAGCAGAAGACGCCGACAGCTTAAAATACTATACCTACTTAATTCACTCAGTAGGCGTTTATTTTTAAATTTGAAACACTCCCATTCGCGGAGCTGATGCGGCACCTCGAAGAAAACAATTTGCTCTGTCTACATCAGCATGCATTTCGAAGCGGTCGATTTTGTTTCACCAACCTCCTAGTATCCATGGAGAGCTGGACGAAATCAATTGACATGGGCTTATTAGTCGACGCCGTGTACATCGACTTCAAAAAGGCTTTTGACAGTGTTCCACACAGACGACTTATATGTAAACTACGTCAAGATGGTGTGAACGGAAATCTTTTGAAATGGCTAGCTGATTTTCTTACGGGCAGATCTCAGCGTGTGTGTATCGGAAACGCTAAATCGGAATGGGCATCGGTGCACAGTGGCGTTCCGCACGGAAGTGTTCTGGGTCCAATTCTGTTCCTAATATATGTGAACGACTGCCTGGACTGTCTGGACTGCGAGCGAGTAATGTTTGACGACGATCTCAAATTGTGGCAATCAATAGAGAAGCCGGAAGGTTCTGTACAATTACAATCGCAACAAATGTCAACTTATCCGATTACGTTCAAGAAACAGGAGGCCGTAGAGATTTGACTCTCAGTACTTTATAGGAGGTCACCAACTCGAGTCAGTCAACGAGTTAAGAGACCTCAGTGTGTGGATGACGTCAAGTCTCAAACCATCGTCTCACTGCGCCAAGGTATCAAAGAAAGCTATGGGTAGAATGGTATTACCGACAAAGACAAGGGAGACTGGAATGGCCATTTCTGGCTAATTAGCCGTCGTCAGCCAGCCATAACCAGCTATGGGTATTCTAAGCGTGATTAGAAGATCCTTTGTCAATTTTGATGAAGAACTTTTCAGCCGAGTATTTAACGCATACGTCCGACCAAATTTTTGAATATTGTGTCCAGGCATGGCGTCCCTAGACGAAAAAAGATTACACCCTACTGGAGAGCGTACAACGTAGAGCAACCAGGCTAGTCGGCGGATTATTATGCTTTCCTTATGAGAGACGGCTGGAGAAGCTAAACATATTTCCTCTCTCTTATAGATAGCACAGAGGGGACATGATCATGGCCTTCATGATCGTCCGAGGGCTAGACTGTGCTCTTCAGTTTGACGACTTCTTCGAACTGGCGCGGACGACAAATCTCCGAGGGCACCCATACAAATTGAAGACGAAACATGCCAGACTCGATTTGCGGGCCAAATTCTTCTCTCACCGGCTGGTTGAGGGATGGAACAAATTGCCGAACTACGTTGTCTTAGCGGAAAACATCGAGACATTCAAACGAAGACTAGATAAACTTATGCTTGATGGTCAAACATTAACATGATATCAATGACTGACATAACTGCTATGTAAACATCTGCATGTTTTTTTCATACGTCTATCTGTCAATAGGATTTTCCTAGGCTCTGCCTGTATCCCTCATTATACTGAATTATACTGGCAGTTAAAAGTACAAACTGGATGAGTTAAAACAGTCGAGTGACCTGTCTGGGTAGAGAGGCGAAACCAACATGCCAGCTAGTAAACCGGTTGGGAGCGCAGCGCTGTTGGCAACAGCAGGGAGAGCCCGGGGGAGGTGCCGACGTAGAGCGAGACGGAGGACGGTACGAACTTTGCGATAGGATGCGGGAAGAAGGGTCGGCCTAAGTGAGAGGGAAGGGCACCGGTCATCTTCACCAACATGCGGTTACGCCATCTTCACCCCAGGTCCACGCGCCAAAAAGTGTCACGGCATTCAAACAACCCTGCGCAGATCAGGGGACGTTACAAGAGCAGACCAAAATCTACCTAACTGGACAATGCTCTCAAGGTTAGGCTGATATCAAAGTTATTCAATTTCCATGAAGGACATATTATTCATGCCCACGCAGAAACTAAAAAAAAATGCACATTTCAATTTTTGTATTGTACATATCGTTATATTTTAAAACATTCTTTATTATTTTCCCTAACAACTCAGGGTTTTTAACTTAAAAAAACTACCAATTCGCGCTCTTCTGGCTAAACAGACAGCCGATACAAATGAAATCAAAGTGCAATTAAACTTGATATTTGACATTGGGGTTTTTTCCTGAGTTCAAACGGGCCTGACAGTGCCCAAGGGACGCTTCAATAAACGTATTCTATTTAATTCTAATCTGGTGAGTAAGTAGGCTCGATTTCCACTACTCTATTCCATTGCAGTGTGCGCGGAAACTAAGTGCACGCCCCGCCAGGTCTCGACCGGGTGCTTAGCACACCGATCCTCTCAGTTCTCCGGCGCTGTGCACGAGCTCTGGTCCTTGGCGAAAATTGTTAGTGGTTAAGTCAGGCGTTCAAAGCGACGGTCCATACTAAGTGGTTCCTGCACTTAGCGTCCTTTCAGTACTTCGGGAGTTATCTACATTCATAACGTAGCTTATAGGATGGTCAGTGCGCGAACGTCGGCGTAAACATTAAATGCTCTATGCCGTTATTGTGTCTTTACCGACTGCCCCGCTTTATTTGCACATATCGTTTCCGAATGATTTGTCTTTTGCTTTATCCAACCACCGGCATTGTCCGTTGCCTGAAACTATTACCGCATTTACAGCAGAAAATCAGACTGGAATTCAGAAGCGCAGTTTCTTTCATGGGTGGAATTGCCTTGCGGGATACGTTCGTTTTCCGCTGCCGTGACCTTTCCCGACCGCATACATTTCTTGCCCCCATAACTACGGTAGTCCTTCCCTGCCCGAGGCCGGATTGCACAGGTTCATCAACGGCGTTCGCCTTCGCTACGTGTGAGGAAGGTTTGCCCCGCATCCGGCAGATTGTTTGCTTGTACACCATACCGTAGCCTGTATAGGGCTTCATCTGAGTGCGTCTAAATATGTCTTCCCCTCATTGAACCCTTCTCATAGAGCTTAGGCTTCAACCTGCTCCAGTAGGTCTCACTGACGTTTGTGTTCCTTCCGTTAACTTGGTCGGCAAAGTTGACAGAATGATTAATAGTCTAATGCCGATAACCCTCTTCAGAAAGACGTGCATACGCTTTCCATTAATCCATTAACATCACGCTGTTGGGAGCGGCCCACTTGGTGATGAATGCTCTCACCGCAGATCATCAAAGATCAATCACTTGCTCAAAGAGGGCATTCCTGCGTGCTGGATCGTAAATTCCGACAGTACATTTCTGCTTCACCACGCGATCAATGCTATATTTCCGACAACTAAGCGCGGTTTCATATACCTGCACTTCCACTCCTTGTTCTCCCAACAGTTTCACTTCAATAATAAGAGTTTTGGTGCAGACATTGTGCCAGACGGTGTAACATTCAACCGGCGTATTGCAACTCATGCCGACGAAGGCTGCACACCCTATCACACGGTGCCTTATACAAAGGCGAGGCCTGTTATTATCAATTAAGTTAGGGACAGCCCGCAGTTTCCAAACAGAGATCCGGTTCTCAGTGCCTTTGTAAGGAATAAACCCATTAGTGGGGCACAATAAGTCGGCCTTCCGAAAAACGAAGATAGAAGTATCCTTAAAGTTACAAACTAGTAAATAAGAACAAATTCATCAGCAGGTAAAAATGCCGGTGATAGTTCTTTGTTTCATTCAAAGTTGTGTAAAGTTATTTAACAAATGTATTATAACTGATTAAAATAAAACTGACTTAAATGTCACTACAATACTCCCCCCCAAGGAGAACAGTGTTAAAAAACTATTATTAATAAAAGGAAAAGATGAGAGGGTTATGCATATTGTACAAGTTGGTAACGGTGGGGAAAACGGACATGACGACCACTGCGCGTAAGAGGAGGTGTCTGCGGGGTAAGGGAAGACGCAGGGTTATTGGGTGTAAGTGGAGTCTGGGAAATAGCCAGTGGCAATGTGCCGAGGGGAGATTGTTCGGTTGGGGAAGTTGAAGGAGGCTCGGTATAAGCCGCCTTCAAGCTATCGACTGAGATCACGTCGGTGCGGCCTCCACGGTCAATTGTAAAATGCTTGTCCGTTCGAGATAGCACTCGAAATGGGCCGTCCTAGGGCTGCTGCACTGGCCGACGAACGCTATCAACACGGACAAATACAAAAGAACATGTTAGTAGGTTCGGGTCGATGTACGACTTACTTATTGAAAGACGTGGAGCAGTGGCTCGAAGATGAGTCATGGCATGGCGCAGTCTTTGCGCATAATCGCTGGGATCCATGTTGGCTGAGCTTTCACAGTACCGGAAAAAATCACCTGGAATCCGTAGTGTAGTACCGTAGACAAGTTCGGCAGCGAAACACACCAAGTCGGGCTTGAGTGCAGCGTAGATACCGAGCATGACCAAATGCAGATGCTCGCTTAAATGGGAAGGGCTGCCATGAGCTCGGAGCGAGGCTTTGAGTTGCCGATGGAAAGGCTCGACTAAGGCGTTTGCTATGTATGCAAAACAGTAGGGTAATTGGAAATAGGACGTGTACTGAGTACGATAGACAGCACAAGTGAGGAGTCTTGGGGAAACGGCTGGGCATATTGCAAGGGGACTGCCATAGGCTGATGGATGGCCAATCAGCACAAAGAAGGTGTGAACTGGGCTCATGTCCTTGATCGTTCGCTTGTCACGCGTTTGCGGCATGATGCCCTGTCGGCCCGGGGAGGATACGCTGAATCCCTCTACCCTAAATTGGAGAGAATAAGGAGGAGGAGGGGAAGAGCGGGAACAGTAAAGGTAATAGTAGATGGTTAGACAATGTTCTAATAAGATTCGTCCTGAAAGCGTTGGACAGGTTTGCGGATTCGCGTCGATCTTCTCAGGGCGGTATTTTCTACCTCCGCGCCGCTTTGTGCAGTACTGGCTCCTCCGCCCCTAAGCTAGTGCTAGTCGGGGCAGAAGGAGGAGGAGGAGCATACGCCTCGGTCGGTGGCATAGTGATATGTGCAGCAGCACGTGTTCAGTCCTCGGGATGTCAGGATTCCTATCAAGGGTTGTTGGCAGTTCGAACTTTCCGAACTCTCCACTTGCTGTGTCCGTTCGGTTGCGAAATGGGTCCAGATGTCGACGTACAATTCTCCCATCTTCTTACTCTGATTCCAATATTTGCGCCTCGCTTGTTCGAACAACAGCTGGACGCCAAGTCGTTTCGTGTTCCAGTCGCGTGTAGACACTTTCGTTAGGCGCGACGACTCGTGGTCGGGTGTTCACATCATATCGTGCTTTCATCTTCATCTGTTTTGCAATGACTCTATCATGCGTTAATGGATTAAGTAGGCCGAGTCGTGTCCGCAACTGCCGCTTGAACATCAATTATGCAGGCGAAGCACCTGTTGAGTCGTTTGGTGTTATGCGATAGCTGAACAGAAAGCATGACGACTTGATGGCCAAGTCCGCTTCCGTCTGTTTGGCTAGTCAGTGCTTTATTGTCTGGACTGCACGCTCTGCGAGGCCATTAGAAGCAGCGTGGTATGGGGCAGTAGTTAAATGTCTAATTCCATTTTTTCCATGAAATCTTTACGTTCTGCAATAGAAAAGGCTGGGCCATTGTCTGAAACGAGCATTTCAGGCATCCCAAACGTAGAGAAAACGTGTCGCAACTTGTTGATTGCACTCAGTGAAGAACAACAATTTCCAGTTGGAATCGCATCAATTCATTTAGTGTGGGCGTCAACTACCGCCAATACCATATGACCTTGGAATGGCCCAAAATAATCGACGTGTACCCTTTTCCATGGCAAGTCTGTATAGGTCCAAGGCTTCAGAGGAACCTTCGGTAAGGTCTTCTGTGTTATTAGGCACACGTGACATGCTTTCACCACGTTTTCTATATCTGCGTCAATTTTGGGACACCTAACGTAGCTGCGGGCGAGAGCTTTCATTCTAACTGTACCAGGATGGGCATTATGCAGGTCTCTATGGGTGGCCCGTCGGACTTGTGTTCGCACAACTACACGATTACCCCACAGTATGCATCCATCTTGCAGATTTAATTCGTTCTGACAGCTGAAGAATGGTTGAAAATCAGGGGAGGTAGTGGACGGCCAGCCAGATTGTGAGGCTCTTTTTACCCGACTTAGGAGAGGGTCTCTCGATGTCCACTGTCGAATTTGTTGACAGGTTACAGGTGCGTTGACAAGGTTCTGCAAAAGATTTACGGTCTCGAAAACGGGTGCACCGTTAATGCTATCGTCCACAATAGGAAGCCTACTCAAGACGTCAGCCACTAGGTTTGCCCTTCCTGTAACAAATTTCATTGCATACGTGTAATCAGACAGGGCTAGTGCCCATCGTTGCATTCTCGGCGAGGACATCGGTTGTATCCCTCGTCTTTCTCCCAGCAGACCTAAGAGGGGTTTGTGATCGGTGTGCATCTCAAAGGGTCGGCCAAAAAGATACAGGTGGAAGCGATGTACGCCAAACGTTATTGCAAAGGCCTATTTATCCAGTTGCGAATGGTTGGTTTCCGCCTGTGACATGGTTCTTGATGCAAAGGCAATCGGCATCTCCGCACTGGAAGGCATTCGGTGCATGACAACCGCACCTACGGATCACAATTCAGTATGATAGGCTTTTCGGGGTCATAATGAACAAGGACAGATGAGGAGGTAAGAGGCGCCTTTGCTTGTTCAAAAGCACTTTGTTCGACCTCCGATCAGTTCCAACAACGATTTTTTTTCAAGCAGTGGATAAAGAGGCTTAGAATCGTAGCCGACAGATTATTAAAGCGACTAAAGTGGGTGACCAACCTCAGGAATGAACGCAATTGGCTAGTATTGTTGGGGCGCGGCTCCGTCTTCAAGGCTTTGGGCTTATGTTCGAGTGGATGGAGTCCAGTTTTATCCACCCTGAAGCCCAGGTATTCTACCGAGTCAGCCAGGAAAGTGCACTTATCTCTCCTGAGTTTAAAACCTTCTTCCTCTAAACGTCCTAACACGATGCTTAGAGTCTCTAGATGACTATGTTCAGATGGGCCGATGACTTATATATCGCCAAGGTATGCCTAAACGTGGGGTATATCCTTCACGAGGTTATCAATCAAGCATTGAAATAAACCGAGGGCCGAACCTACTCCAAATGATGAGTATTGATGCTGGTGGCGTCTCGGGATTCGGTATCTAGGACGCCTTGGCTGTAGGCATGCTTAAAGTACAAAGTTGTAAATTGATGACCACACGAGAGAGATGCGCACAGATGCTCCATGAGCGGGAGAGGATAAGGGTTCAGTTTAGTTGCTAAGTTAATTTTCAGCTTGTAGTCGCCACATATACGCACAGAACCATCGGTTTTAAGAACAGGAACTATTGGGGCTGCCCACTCCGAATATTGAACGGGCTCAATGATATCCCCTTTCTGTAGGCGATCCAGCTCTTCTTCGACATTCGGTGCGACTGCACAGGGGACTGTACGAGCTTTGATGCATGCGCTACGTGTATCAACTGTAAGTTGTGGCTATCGTCTGACGGTATATTATTCAGAGTCGCCTGACGGCATTTTGTGTCATATAGCTGGCTGCAGGTCTCACAATATATTTTTAATGAAGCATCACACATATCATCACGCTAGTCCACCATTATGGGACTCTTTCTTAACCATCATTGAAGAAGAACCTTTTGACTGGCGTATCGACGCTCTACACTATTGCATTTTAGTGTTTTAAATCATACCTGACAATCTTACACATACCGGAAAATTCTAAATCACAAATCCTCTAAAGCAATGATTGCCAAATGACTCCTACATAGACCACTGAAAAGATCCCATTCAAATGAACTTCGATGCCGTGCCGGAATCTGTAGTATATATTTGATCCAGATGCATTCAGCTACACATCACGATAGTGATGGAGATCTTCTTGGAGATGGAGATTTTCTTGCAGTTTTACACAATGTCAAAACAAATCCAAATAAGGCGATAGTGAACCCATGCGTTGGTGGTCTTTTTCTAAAGCTCAAACCCTCTCTTGCCATGATTTCAAAATTGCTTCCTTATCTTCCTCGGATTTCGAAAACGTGGAAGGATCAGACAGTATTTCCTCTAGTTCCGCCACCTAATCCATTCTATCCATCATTTCTACTCCTGAAACCTTATCTGGTCTGGTTAGCACAATGTCTTTGTTTTTGTGAAGTTCCCCAAGGTTACCGATGTGATTCCTTTTCAAGGGACCCAGATTGATCGTAGCCTTCCTTAGATACTGTTGGCAGCAGTTAACTATACTTGACTTAAGACGATCAGCTTCTTTAGGATCGCTAGGTTTCAGCTCTGTCGTCTGACTGACGCGACTCTCAAATTAGATATCTATGTCTAATTGTTTCGGTATCCGCTGTGGAATACAAAATGTAGGATCAAGAACTAGTACCTCTAGGAGAACTTTATCAACACTTACTGAGGCATTGTTTTGTACCTACCGTTCCCGATTGTTCAGAAGGACGGTCTGAGCTTTTAATGTATGTTTGCTGGCCTCCATTCTTTTTATTCTGACTGGCTCTGCATAGTCTTAAATTGCCAGTGTCTCGTGGTTTTCGAGGCGGTCAAGGATCCCTCCTCTCTGACAAAAATTCCGGTGGTGTTCTTTAATCCCGGCATTAACTGCCTCAAGGTGGATTTCTGCATGTCGTTCTAATGCAGGACAAGTTGCGGCGATATGATGTCCCCGTAAGGTTTTTCAGTAGTCATTGGAATATTCACTCGTTCAATACATCCTGATAAGAATTTGCTCGTCCCATATGCCTCCACAAACCTGGTGTTACAAGTGAGGAATCCATAGAGTTCTTTTAATAGCGAGGGATATTTGGATTGTTTAAGTTCCGCAAAATTTCCCATGCTACACTCGAAAAGTCCAGTTGGCAAACACGTGCTTTCGGTAATTCTTCGTCAGGCTGATACAGTTATATGCAGGAATGACATTGTACAAAACTAACAGTGTTTATAGGTGCCTCAAGAGCAATTAAGTCATTAACACTCATCTTATTCAGGCCGCCCGCATGACGAGGTTGGCGGGTTTTGGTCCTTAGAGCTGGAGGAGGAAGGTAAGAGAGGATTTGAGTAATTTTCATGACTTGAGTACACAGAGTACCCATTACTGTAATTAAGGATTTGAGGCGGCATGTCACCATCACTTGAGGTTGCCGTTGGCCAAGGCGGAGTGAGCGCTTGCGTCAGGGCTTTCTTACAGCATAACACCAAATTTTCTAGCCGTATAGCCACTGCCTCGGCCGTCGCTAGTATCCCTTGGCGTAGGCCTTTAAAAAAGCTTGTTTTTGTGCGATAGACAACCAGAAATGTTTCCTCGGCATCGACTCGGTGATCCTTATCGATTATATGGGCGAGAATATAGCGCAAAATCGATCGCGTATCACGTCTGCCTAGCCAGGCGGACATATATTCACGCAGACTCTTTACCAGGCGTCTCGTTGTACGGCCGATGTATCTCGCGCCACAGGAGCAAGTGAATGAGTAGATGCACATTGAGGTGGCCTCGAACGGTAGTCTGTCTTTACCTCCCAAACATACGCGTAAATTCAACGTGGGGAATGCTCTTGTGATAGCTGTAGTTAAGCGCCGTCTGACTACTTCACTATCTGCGTCCTCTGCAAAAATCAGCCTTATGAATACATCTTTCTTTTCTGTAGTGGCAACAGTGGGCTTTGCAATGCGTTCCCCAATGTTTTGGAGGATAAATCTATCTGGGTACCCATTATCGCGGAGTGCGTTCCGCTGCTCTTGGAGCTCAGGTTCAATAGCCTCAGGTGAGCAGATGCGCCTCATTCTAGCTGCCAATCTCCGGACCAGATTTTGTTTCATTATGAAGATAACAAATCCATGGAAATTATGTTTTGTTCTGTCCACGTTTTCGTTCGGAACCCCCTGCGCTCGATGGACCCATCCTCCTGCCTGTGTAGAAGGACATCGAGAAACGTAATTTCGTTATTTACCTCAGGCTCAGCGGTGAACCTCATCAAGGGGTGCGCACTGTTGAAATATTGGACAAGGTCTACAATATTGTTAATGTCGTCAATATCCGCCAGACATAAGATATCGTCCAGGTACAGACCGTAGGAGACGAGGCCATTATTGGCATTTTGTAATCTTGACTTCTCGACTCTGCCCATAACAACATTTGCAAGGAAAGGTACAAGGGGTGAGCCCATTGCCACACCATCTATCTGTGTGTATATTTGACCACTGCACAAATACAGGATACTTTGTGTTCAAAGCGTCAGTCGTTCTTTTAGCGTTTTTACTGGCATGCCTATGAGTAGTTCGTATCACAAATAACACCACAAAGATAATTTATCATTTCTGACATAGGTACGCTGGTAAACAGTGATGATGCATACAGTGATAACATCCTCCGTCCGCCAACGTTAATATTTTTCATAGCTTCAAAGAACGCGAAGGAGTCTTTCAGATTTCGAGGATGCAGATGACCTTGCAGTGGCCTCAGTCTATCCACTAACAATTTTGCAACATTGTAATAGGGCGTATTCCTCATATCCATGATTGGACGTAGGGGAAGCCCTTGTTTTGTGGATTCTAGGAAGGCCGTACCTTCTTCATATTGTCGTGCCCACCGGTTCAGTCGTTCATAGTCTTAACTAGACAAATGACCTTCTTTGAAGAGATCTTTGAAAATTCTCGTCAACTAACACTCGAAAGCCTTTGTGAGATCCTTTTCTTTCTCGAATTTCGAAATTTGAAACGATCCGAATGTATGTCCGCTAGTTTCACCACATAATCGGTTCTATCCAACTGTACTAATCCTCAACACTTATCTGGTCTGGACAGCACAATGCCTTTGATTTTGTGAAGTTCCCCTAGGCTAACGATGTGAGCCTTTGTCACGGGACGTTTGTTTAGCGGAGCGTATTGATGAAAGAAAGAAATCGAAGCTAAAATTTCTTAGAGCATATTTGTGCAATATTGCATCTACTCAGTCCGATAGAGACAATTCTCCAGACTGTTCTAACTACCAGTACACCCTAAATTTTATAGAAACCCTGAACTCCTATCAGTCGATCGTAGTTCCCACATTCTTCATGACAATCTCTGCATTCAAATTTGCGATTTAGAAGTTATCCACGTTCGTAGGCTAGGTGCAAATCTGCCGCATTAGTATAAACGATCTCATACGCTTGATGTTAGTAATGTCCGCAAACATGCGCATTTAGCATCAACAAGATTCGCTACTGTTGGCGGTGTTTAAACGCCCCCACTTCCCTGCAGTTGCTATCGTACAGCGTAGCTGAATGCGGCTGGATCGAACATCAAGTATCGTTCCAATACTCCTTTACGTAGAACTCAATTGCAAACATCTGAACACTTTAAAGAATTGCAGTCATATGCCAGTGCTAATTCTTGTATTTGCTAATCCCGGCGTCAGAGTCGACACTCAAATTGACGCGACATTTCATATATCATTCATGCAGTAGCGGGTTACAGGGACAGAGCGTAGCAAGTGAAACGTAGGCCACATTGGTGATCTCAGGTGAATGCATTTTTGCATTGCTTTTGAGGACCGCGAATCCTGGTCCTGCTAACCCTGTCTGACATATAATCACCGATGCAGACAATAATTTAGGACATTGTTTCTAAGCTATTACATTACATGGCTTCTAGCCGAAAGTCCAGACACGCCTTTGACGACACTCCTGCTACAAAGCATCTGAGAGTTTTCCAATACACAGTTTGTCTTCCATCTACGTTAAAGCGGTTTCTGGGGGTTCATTTAGCAGAAGTCATATAAGAAAGGCTCGGAGACTGGCTGCGTGATCAAATCCCTTGCATTAGCCTCCGGCAGCAGCAGAAACAGCGTTGAGCAGTTTATGCATACCAGTAGTTACTATCGTGTTTTGTAGCTGAATACTGCTGGATCAAACATATACTGCAGATTCCGGCACGACAGCGAAGTTCATTTGAATGGGATCGTTTCAGTGGCCTATGTAGGAGTCATTTGGCAATCATTCCTTTAGAGGATTTGTGATTTAGAATTGTCTGGTATGTGTAAAATTGTCAGGTATGATTTAAAACAGTAAAATGTAAGGGCTCAAATCGATAGCCTTGGGGAACTTTACAAATACAAAGACATTGTGTTAGTCGTGGCTATCGTCTGACGGTATCATGTGTATTATTCAGAGTCGTCGGACGGCAATTTGTCTCATATAGCTGGCTGCAGAACTGGCACTTCATATTTTATGAAGCATCACACATATCATCACGCTAGTCCGCCATTATGCGACTCTTTCTTTACCATCATTGAAGAAGAACATTTTGACCGGCGTATCGACGCTCGACACCATTGCATTTTACTGTTTTAAATCATACCTGGCAATTTTACACCTACCAGAAAATGCTTAATCACAAATCCTCTAAAGCGATGATTGCTAAATGACTCCTACATAGACCACTGAAAAGATCCCATTCAAATTAACTTCGATGCCGTGCCGGAATCTGTGGTATATAATTGATCCAGATGCATTCAGCTACACAATACGATAGTAAATGCTGGTAAGTGCCATTCACGGGGAATAATATGGATGTTAGCCAGGCCCGTTAGAAAGCATTCTTCGCATTAGGGCTATGCGCATGGCTTAACGAGCAAATTGGAGATATCCTGTAAATATAGAGAATTTTGAAAACAAGAATTTGAATAAAGACAAAGCATTTTTGGAAGCGGAAGCGTCATAGGACGGATAAGAACGCACTTCATACAGCCAAATGGAATATTTATTTAAATTGGTTAAATCGTTTAAGCGGACTATCTGTAGAATACTGTTAGAAATTATAGACAGAACAGTCTAAATGAGAGTGTTTCCTGGACTGAGTAGATGCAAATATTGTACAAATATGCTCGAAGAATTTTCGGGTATTTTAAACCACCGGCAGAAGTTTATATTTCCTGGTGTGCTGACATTCAGACGGTATTCTTTAACATCCCGAAGTGGCTGTGAATGCAACACCTAAGAGCCAACGGGTCAGAAGTTAGGAAATTAACAGATTTGGTGTATGAGTCTTAGTGAACACAAAACTTTGTCGAGGCGGAACGTGACTTTGTAGATTTTAAGCAAACATTGCATGACACATGCGGTGAATCCATCAGAGGTTATATGAGACACAGGAGTTAATGTGTTTGGCAGATATTGCACTTAGTATATTTCCTAGGAATACCCACGTGTGCAGTCGCACTACCCTAATTGTTCCCATAAACAGGGGTCAGTTCCTATTGTTAGGTTGTGTGAAAATTTCACACAGCGGCGACCGAGACTGACAAAACAACCGGCAAGCCATCCAGTTGTTTGCTGCTGTGTGGCACTTCCTCCCCTTATCTCGCATAACAACAGACTACCAGACTGCGCCCTGTTTCGGTTGCGAGAACGTAAGGCGTTCTCCAACCACTAAAGCGAAAACGTGATAGCCTCCCCTAAAGACTCACGTGGTGCAATCGCGAACCCATCTGATGGACTCATA